CTCCTCTCCTCCCCACCCACACACACACGCACACACGCGCACAAACACACACACACACAAACACACACACACACAAACACACACACACACACACACACATACTATATCCTACCACACGACATATCCACACACTCTACCACCCCCCCTCCTCTCCTGGCCACACAAACTTCTTAACACTAAACTCTCTCCCCCTTCCTCCTTTCCTCTTCCTTCCCCTTTTCTTCCTCCCTTCCCTCCTCTCACTCCCTTCCCTCCTCTTCCCCCCTTCCCTCCTCCTCCTCCCTCCCTTTCCTCCTCCTTCTCCCTCCCTTTCCTCCTCCTTCCCCCTCCCTTCTCCCCCTCCTCCCTCTCCGCCCCGCCCTCCTCCCCCTCCCCATCCACTGTTTCGAGCTTTCCAAGAGACAGGAGACAGATTGCCCCAAATCGATACACGGTGCTCTCAATGGGCTGGCAGATGGTTGCGTCATGCTCATAAGGCAGGTGCACGCCCAATCTTGTGCGACGGATCAAAAGGAAAAAAAAACAACGTAATTTAACTAACATAGGCTTTCAATTATTTGTAAGTGGAGGAGATTTACGCCCCAATGACACAAGTATTAATCATCTGAGATGCGGGGGTGGAGGAGGAGAACATCACATGTCTAAACCGAATGATATGACCGGAGTGATTTAAAAAAAAAAAATTCTCACTGGAATACGGAAACATTTCGCGACCCTAGAATTACAAAGTTAAATCTGCTCAGCACCTAATTTTGAGGAATTTGACGTTAAACATGTTGAGATTTCCAACATGCCAAGCTTTATCGAATGCAGTTCTTTGAATATCTTGATAACAACTCCGAATAATGTTACGATTTTGATAGAGCCGATAGAACATTTACTTGGTTTCTGACCTTGTGATCTTAGCAACTCAAATAAACGGTCAAAAATGTCAGAAAGAACTTTTTAATTCTAAGTCAGCGATTTAGTGATAATTACAATCCGATCTCACACCCCCTCCCCTCAGGACTTCTTCCAAGATACCCACATCTACTACATTTAAGTGGTCATATCAGTTAAATTTCCCCCCCCCGAGTTTTTGAGTTTTTAAAGCAGGGAAGCAAAGACAGTCAAATCCTGATATCACGGTTGACCCAACAGTCCACAAGTGCTCTGTTTGTGCAAAATTCTTCTAAAAAGAGCGCTCGAAGCTCACAAGCGAATTCATATGAAGTTTTAACCAACTAATCACAATGTTTAGACAAAGAAAGGCATCGCTTTAGTTTAGTTTAGGAAAAGGTGGGGTGGCATTTGTGATCATTGCATGTTCCTTGCTATTATTTCCTTTATTTCCATAATAATAATAATTAACAGGCGTTTATATGGTCCATGATATATCCCCACTCGACAGCAAGCTTTCAAATGTAGAATACGGTAGATATAACCCCAGTAGACACAAGAACACAAGAACACTCAAAAGAAACTCAAACATTTACAAACTGATAAGATCTTTCGCGGTCTATAGCCGGGTACCCATCCCACTTTAATGGTTGAAGTTATGAAAATTCGTGTAATATGCCCTTTTCAAGAAAACAAGGTTGGGGCTCCAAAGGGATTCAAACCCAATACGTCAGGGTTCCAAGACTGAGAGCCTGACCAATACTGACCATTATGTCACCGACGCCACGATCTCTGTAGACTTGGTGGACTGTAAGTAGTGTAACAGTCGAGAAGGTCTGTGATACATGACGGGAAATTGGTTGCTAGAACTTTGCAACCCATCGATGCAAGTTTATATAGTCAATCCTCGTTTTACAAGCAACCAAATAGAGGATCTTCTAGTCATCATCATCTAGTGCCAGATCAGTGACAGACACCAACGACTACGGTTCACAGTAATTCATCCTCATTCCTTTGCTCGGATGCTCTCTAAAAAGCTATATATTTATCAATATAATTATATCCTGATCTTTCCCCTTCACCCTTCTGTTAGGTTCTCAAAAATTATAGCTTGCTGTGGTAACCCTTGCCTGGTTTGCCTTCGAGTTTGCCAGTGAGAGCTCGGTATTCAATGCCTTTATGTCTAGGCTATAACATTTTAATGTCCCAACAACTGCATAATTTAATATTATTGTCTCTTCCTTGTTAATTGTTCTACTATTGAGTGGCCTTCGTGGACGTCTTAAAGGAGGGG